CATGAGTAGGTGGCTCTCTCAGAAAATGTATGTTGGAAGTGTAGGCACGTTCTGATGGCTCTCTCCAAGAATGAAGAGTGAGTGGAGGGGTATATATAGCCTTCACACAAAATCTAATCATTACACATAATTTACCAAACTCGATGGGACCGAATCATGAAACTCGATCTGACCGATTCAATTCAAAATGTGAATGTTAGTCTTTTCGGTGGGACCGACATGTCAACTCGGTGGGGCCGATTTCATTAGGGTTAGGGCATAACATAATCTTGGTGGGACCGATCACATAAACTCGGTGAGATCGATTTCTGTAATAGGCAAACAGAGAGTTGGTCAGGCAAACTCGATGGGACCGAATCGCTCATTTCGCTGAGACCGAAACGTTATGAAAGGAAAATAGAGAGTTTGCATTGCGAACTTGGTGGGACCGATCGCTCATCTCGGTTAGGCCGAAACGTTACAAAGGAAAACAGAGAGTTTGCAATCCCATCTCGGTGAGACCGAGATCCCTATCGGTGAGGTCGAACTGATTAGGGTTTTTGGCTATGGCTATGTCAAGTGAACTCGGTGGCGCATGATAGATCAAATCGGTGGGGCCGAGATTGACTTTTGGTTTGGGACATATGTGGATATGAGAAAGTGGTTGAGGGGTTTTGGAGCATATCACTAAGAATTTTGAGCAAGCAAGCCATTAAGCAACACCTCATCCCCTTTTGATAGTATTGGCTTTTCCTATGAACTCAATGTGATCTTGGATCACTAAAATGAAAATGTAGAGTCTTGAGTTTGAGGCAATGTGTGTCCTTAGCATTTTGAGGGGTCCACATTCCTAATCCATGCCATGCCAATCATTGAACTTTCTGAAATGAGCATCTTGAAAGAGCATTAGTTCAATGAGCTACATATTATTAGGAATCACCAAAAACACCAAAGGATAGTTGCACTTTCAAACGGGAATAGAAACGAAGAGGGCCGCATGTATACCATATGTTGCATGTCGATGCAGGCTCACACGGCGTGCCTTGATGCTCTCAAGGGGTAACACAAAACTTGTTGCACTCTTGTTGTATCACCCACCCACGCTTTGCTATGCATTTGATGCTCTCAAGTGGCTGGGATTTTTCTCGTCGTTTTTCAGGTACATCCACAGATCCAGTACTGGAGGCATCAGATAAGATTGGTTGGTACGACCAGGCTTGAATCTGAGGGCATTGTGTAGTTCTGTCCTGCGGTGACGCTTGCAAACAGTAATTATTATACGGAGCGTGCGTGTCGTCGGGTCAGCCCAGCGGGCACGCTACACTGAAATTACTCCCTCCGGTCCTTTTTACTCTGCACATTAGGTTTGTCTGAAGTCAACCTCATCCAACTTTGACCAAGTTTATACAAAAAATTATTAACAACACATTTATTAATAGATCCATCTCGGAATATATTTTCATATTATATTTATTAGATGTTATAGATGTTAATATTTTCTAATATAAATTTGGTCAAACTTAGCAAACTTTGACTTGAGTCAAAGCTAATGTGCGGAGTAAAAAGGATCAGAGGGAGTACTTGGAAGTTGGAACACGGAGACGAATCACGCGTGGCCGGCCGTTTTTCCGTGATCCAAAGCTTGGAACGCCGTTGGGCTTTCTCCAATCCAAATACTAGTACGTTCTGGACGCGAGTTTCCCGCGTAGAGAAAGTGACGACCTGCACCTGCTTGCCCGGCGAGCCGAGCACTAGTCAGTCCCTCAAGTAGCAGTAGCGCTACACTGGTTGCCACCATCTACGGATCCACCTACATTCCTCGGACTCGCCAGGAGCGACGGACGCGGTTCCTCTGCTCTGCTCCTTGGTCTTTTCCTGTGGGCGGCGTGGTGCACCTCCCGTGACACCAGCAGCTGACTATAGTAGTATACTACTCCCTCCGTTCTGAATTACTTGTCTTGGATTTATCTAAATACCGGTGTATCTAGACTTATTTTAGTGCTAGATACCTCTGTATCTAAACAAATCTAAGACAAGTAATTCGGAACGGAGGGAGTAGCATTTAGCAAGCGAGCCGTCGACCTCGGCCACTTTCTGGCCGCGTCGTTTTCCAAGTGGTTTGGTTTGAAAGGGCTCGTTCGTTCGTTGCACGTAGCGGCACATCACAGAGACACTCGTGTGTTTCGCCGAGTGAAGAAGAACTGTGGGGCCGGCGCTTTTCTCCGGCATTTCGCCGGGAGGAGGCCAAGTTGCGCTCTCGTTGCTGCCCGTGCGTCGAGGGAGGAAAGAACCGGTGTGAATCGTCCAATCCACCGCCGAGGAGGAGCTGGGCTGGACCCGCCGACCGACCGGTCATGGCCACCGCCCTCACGTTGCCGTCCCCGCTCGCTTTTTCTGGAGCGGTCGACACGTCTCGCCTCGGGCTCCGCCACGTAAATATCTGCCGCCACTACCCGCCTATCATGCCCCGGCGGCCTCAAAGTCCACTTATCATCACAGCTGTACCGCAGTGAAAGCCACCACTACTCCTTAATTATCTGGAGCAATAACATTTTTTACACCGTTGATTACCTGGAGTACTACTAGTATAGTTCTAGTACTTTTTTTTGCGGGGAGGGAGTAGCATATAGTACAACCAATAATCTTTTTTTGTTGCGAGAAGTACTTACAACCAAGAATCTTGAGTGAGCAGAGAATTTCCTTACCACGACTCTGAAGATCGGTGACAGGCAGACCACGAAGGCAGAGCAGGGTATACGGCCAGCCTTTGCTGCGCTGCCTCGACCGTGCAAGCAGCTGAGCAAAACAAACGGTTAGAAATTATTCCCGCCTTCTTCCCGTACGTGTCGCGTCCGTCAAACAAGAGGGCAAGCGGCCTGTTCTTCTCGCCCGCCGCTCTTTTCAGCTGGCGCATTCAATGCCCGATCAGCCTTCTAGTAGTGAGTACGTATCTCGTCGCTGTACGTACGCCGTATCGAGCCATGTCCCATCATCCTCGCAGTACGTAGTATAGGATAACCACGTGGCACCGTTCGTCCGTCTCCACCTCGCGGCGTCCCTGTCGCGTGCGCTGCCTCAACTCCAAGTCAGTACCACTAGAAAAATGAAAACCTTGAGGGCATCCAGACGCATCCGAGTGTGATGTACTCAGATGATTTCCTGTACAGGAGAGTACGTTACGGTTTGAACCCAGATCGATAAACCTGACTTTTTTTAGCACCTGCTTTGCCCGGCTAGCTGGAGATAACAAAGGAGTACTCCAAAGCGCCGCTTTTGTCACCGGTGTCCACTGAGCCACGTTCAGACTCGTGCGCGAGCCTCTCCCGTGTGAAGCGGCGCGGCGGTCGGCGGGGGCACGGCCACCGGACCGGACAGCGCCCTCCCGGTCGAACGGGCGTGGCACGGGCGCCGGCAGCAAAGCGAAGCAATAGCAAAAGCATGGTCGACCTCGAGGACTTTCCGGAAGCGTCGTTTTCATTCCCTGATATTCTGAAACTTTGCCCGGGACGGCGAACGTAGCGACGGACCGGGCGCACGTCGTTCCTCCGATCCCGCGGGCGCACGACACACGCACACACACTGTTGGACCCGCTCCGTTCCCACGCACCTCCTGCGTTCGGTGAGAGGAAGACCGCACCACTGACACCGAGCGTGCACGGACCGGCTTCGCCAAGGCCAACTTGTGCTCTCTTTAGCCGAGTAGTAGTAGCAGCATCGTCGATGCCACGACGACGTGGATGAGTCCATCGTCCACCGAGCAGACGTGGCCGCCGGTCGACCGGCGTACGTTCGTCGTGGCCGTCGGCGGGCACGGCCGCCCCCCGTCACGCGTCCGCCGCACCGCGCGCTTCTCTCTGCGGAAGGATCGGCGCGCTGCGCTGTCTGCCTCGGCCTCGCCCTCGGGCTCCGGAGCCACGTAATAACATGAATAAATATCTACCACCACTACCCGCCTATCAGCAAAAAGTCCACGTATCGAAGGCCACTATCACAGCTGTCCCGCAATCAAAGGCCACATACAGGAGCACTCCACTCACTGCCATTATAGCCGTAACTTTTGTTTTCTCTCCTGGAACGGCGATCACGGCCGTTGATTATACTACTACTAGCAGCAAAAAAAGAGTAGGGTGCACCTCCACGCGACAAGGTTTTTTCCAAGTAGAGTAGCGTGCCCTTTCTTGTTATGATTCCCGTGCGGCGCCTGCTGCACACTCGCCGCCGCTCGCTTCTTTTCAACGGAGTTGGTTGCTTTCCATCATCTCTTTACGTGCGTACGTAGGCAGCTGGCCGGCCGCTCCCTCCTCAATGCCGCACCGCCTCCCGTTTTCCTGTTATATTTTTGACCGGATCTCCCCGTATTCCTGTTATACCGGTACGTACTTATCTACCTCGATCCGGTCATTCTTGTCGTCGTGGTCGCCACCTCGTCACCCACGGTCACGCTCACGCTCACGCCCCCGTTGCGTGCCGTGCCAGGTCTCCGGGCCCACCTCTGCAAACTTGGAGAGCATCAATGGGCAAGCCGTGACGCGCCGCTGCTTGCAGCAGGGATTGTTTATGACACCCCGTTATAATTAGGCTGAGATGTGATAGATAGCGGCGACGACCTATCACCGCCGATAGTCAGTCGATTAGTGATGCACGCGGGAGCCCACCTGTCGGAAACCAACAGATTCCAGAAGACGCACCGGGGAAAGGAAAGGCGGGAGGAGACAAGTCAAACCATCCATCCATCCAATCCTACGACGCGACAGCGCACGGGATAACCACCGTAGACCCCCTCGCCCCACACACCCACGCGCTTTCCCCGTCCCCCTCGCCCGCCCGGCGTTATAGTACTTAATCCACCCCTCGCCCACCCAAGTCCCCCATTCCCATTCCCATTCCACTTCCATTTCCATTTCGTCCCGTCCCCATTCATTCATTCGTTACCAGAGAGACGAGACGACGACTACCGGGAGCGAGGGGCAGAGTTCGGATCTCTATTCCGGAGATTTTTGTCTAGTTGGTGGTGAAGGAGGATGTTGAGGGCTGTGGCGAGGTGCTGCGGGCACTGGCCGCCGGGCGCGGCGGCGGCGGACGGCATGCTCTGGCAGACGGAGCTGCGGCCGCACGCGGCGGGGGAGTTCTCCATGGCCGCCGCGCAGGCCAACCTCGTCATGGAGGACCAGGCGCAGGTGCTCGCCTCCCCCTCCGCCACGCTCGTCGGCGTCTACGACGGCCACGGCGGCCCCGACGCCTCCCGCTTCCTCCGCTCCGCCCTCTTCCCCCACGTCCAACGTACGTACGCTCTTCTCTCTTCCTTCCCCTTCCCCTTCCGTCGATTTGAGTTTCTCCCGGTTTCTCTGTATGCTCGTGCGCGCGGTGCTGATTTTCCAGCGCGTCTTGTCTTGTCTCGGCAGGCTTCGCCAGGGAGCAGGGGGGCGTGACCGCGGAGGCGATCCGGAGGGCGTTCGGCGCGGCGGAGGAGGACTTCCTGCACGAGGTCCGCCAGGCCTGGCCCAAGCGCCCGCGGATGGCCGCCGTCGGCTCCTGCTGCCTGCTCGGGGCCATCGCGGGGGACACGCTCTACGTCGCCAACCTCGGCGACTCCCGCGCCGTCCTCGGCCGCCGCGTCGTCGGCGGCGGGGTGGCCGTCGCCGAGCGCCTCTCCACCGACCACAACGTCGCCTCCGAGGAGGTCCGGATGGAGGTCTCCTCGCACAACCCGGACGACGCGCAGATCGTGGTGCACACCAGGGGGGCCTGGAGGATCAAGGGGATAATTCAGGTGAGAGACCGATGATGAGGCAATTCATCTTATTAATTTCATGCCTCCCAATCATCAGAGATTAGAGGCAAAATATAGCTGATTGTAGATAACATCTGCGGCTTTTGGTTCCTCTGCCAGTTTGCCCGATTTAGATTTTTTGGTAGTTTGCTTGCACACTGAAATATGGGATAAACTGCAACGAAATTGCATCACAGATTCAGAGCTCCCTAATTTGTAGTACTAGTGCAGAGCCATTAGATCCCATATGCTTAACTAATGTCATTGACCTTGAGTGGGTTTCCAGGTAACAATTCGAAAGAAATTGACCCCTTTTGTTCAATCTTCAGCTTAGTTAGCTTTGTGTAAGGGGTTAGATGAAGTAGGCCATATGTCAGAAATGGTAACTATCCCAATTTAAGATGATATTCACTGTGTTTTTGGAAATTTGCTGACCATACTGAGGAATTTTCCTCTTTCCACTTTAAAGCGAACACTGAAATTGCACTCTATTGCAGCAATCCTGGTGGTTGCAACTTTGCATAGTATCCTCAGTCCTGGATTCCTGGGTTCATAACCTATCCATCCAGGATTGCTGGGATCACAAAGTATCCTGGGTTCCCGGGTTCATAAACTATCCAGGATTGCTGGGATCATAACGTATCCTGGATTCCTGGGATCATAGTCCATATACAGTTTCTCTCTTTTGATGATAAGATGCTCCATTTATCGTTGGGAAGCTAATAAACTTGTTATTGTTTGGTGATTAGCCTACGCTTGCCTTTTTGTCATCACTCATCAGTTAGTTTTTCCTCTTAGGAGTTAGGAGAACCTATGATATGAAGTTCAATGCAAAGCAGAGCAAAAGATAGATAGATAACATGAGCTAACAATTGATTGTTGTACTATCAGGTGTCAAGATCCATTGGTGATGTATACTTGAAGAAACCGGAGTATAGCTTGGACCCATTATTTCGGCAGATCGGCCCTGTTATTGCATTGAAGAGGCCTGCTCTTAGCGCTGAACCACAAATCCATGTTCGCAAGCTCAAACCAAACGATCAGTTTATAATATTTGCCTCGGACGGTCTTTGGGAGCATCTCAGCGATGATGATGCTGTGCAAATTGTCTTCAAGAACCCAAGAACGGTAGGTTCTGATATATCAATACCAGTTGATGATCTCATGTGGGGAGGTTTTCCTCCACGTATGAATGATCTGCTAGAACAAATGAAATGACTTGTGTGAAATCACTTTTGCAGGGTATAGCAAACCGATTAGTGCGGTCCGCCTTGAAGGAGGCCACGAAGAAGAGAGAGGTCAGTGTGCATGACCTGAGGACGATAGAGCGGGGCGTGCGGCGCCATTTCCACGACGACATCAGCGTCGTCGTGGTGTACCTCGACCGGCACCGCGGTCGCCGTCAGACCAGGGTGGTGGACTCGAGCAGCAACTGCACCAGCGCCCCCGTCGACATCTACTCCTCCTCCAGCTCCATCCAGTCGGTGCAGCCACGTCAGGCTTACCGTGACTCCGGTTAATAGACCAGATAAGACGGGACTCCAGTTAGTAGACCAGATAAGACGGGCAGCAGAAGCTCAGACTATATGATCATGGTGGTAAACGGTGGTAGGGTTGCAGATCAGCAACGCAGACTGCAACCCGCAAGCTGCAGTGGCAGCGTCCGAAAGAGATGCGCGGAATGTACATAAGTAGTGCGGGCGCGTGGAACTTTTGTCTGAAGAGATGATTTTTTCGTATGTAATTGCAGAATTTGACTCTCTTTTTTCGTTTATCTCTGCTTAGCCAGCAGTTAACCCGTGAACTAGAACGGTGGCAGTATATATATGATACTGAAATTTAGAAAAGGCACCCCGAATTTCAGCATGTGAATTCATCCGTGCTGGTGGGAAATCCGAAATCGGGTTATCTTTCTACTTTCGACCGATCGTTCTCGTGTTCGCTGAATCGTGGTTCCACTTGCTTATCAGGAATCACTTGGCTTTAGTAGATGAAAGGCAAACGGCCTGCTAGTTGCACTTGCATCATCGGTCGTGGTGTGGCTCTTTATCCGGTTGTCGACCCTCTTGTCGGAGCTCTCGGGGGGAAAAGGGGAAATTCTGAACTAGTGTCGTCTCGCTTTCTCTCGTGGTGATCCACTCACTGGTAAAGAAAGTTGTTTCTTTATTGAGAAGTCTGAGTGCTTACCATGACCTAATTCCAGCACCAAGTTATGAGTTATCCGTGCACACTAGTGACACCGTGACAGTGCCACCATCAGCTACCAAATGTCTTTGTAACGAGAACACGTTCCAAAAGCTACCAAATGTCTTTGTAACGAGGAGGTGACTAGTGGTGCGTCCCATGCGACAGACTTTGTGAGGATCAGTGATGTCCAATTCGTTCCAGCCCAGGAGGATGGTTGTAAGTGGAATTCGGAATCTTCTACTCCTAGTCGATTCCCATCCAAATCGGCGTGCAAGGCCTCGTTTCAAGGGATTCCCCATTTGTACCTGGGCGAACGCAAATACGCAATATCCGAATGATTCGTTGCAAAATGGCCATCTGGTTGGTGATCCGGAAAAGGACCTGGACCGCTGATCGCCTCGCCAGACGAAGCCTTTCACTTAACGAGAACTGCGTGCTTTGCGGTTCTTCGCCGGAGGATGTATATCATCATCTTGACTCTTGTGAGCTGTTCAGTTTCGTGCGTTCTATGGAGTTATGTCCTTGCTTCGATTGGTATCCCGGGGGTGTTGCCCGCCATTGGCAGCACCTTTGAGAGCTGTTGTTCTAGCCTAAGAAATGGAGACCCTCTCGACAGTTAGAGCATCTCCAGCCGCCCCCCCTCCCCCCAAGACGCCCCCTACGGCCACTTTTTCGGCGCCGGCAATAAAATATGCTCCCACTCGCGCCCCAAAGCTTCAGTTTTCGCCGGATTTAGAGAAAATTGACGCCGCCAGTTCCACCCCAAACCCAGCCCCCCGGGGAGCAGCTGGGCGTGCCGGCGATGCCTTTTTC